CACCATACTCTTCTCACAGGTTTTGTCCAATCTTCACATAAATTACATGCACGTTTCTTTCTCTCTTCTTTTTTTCTGTAGTTCACCATATCAGGTGGAATTTGACAATTTGGTGTGCATCCTCAGAATGTCTTTGTATATGTGTATCAGCTTTTGTTAAGCTTGGGGTCATCAGTATTGACGTTTCTATTTCTAGTAACATTTCAAGTAACCATCTCAAACAAGACAATCTACTGATTCAGATGATACATGTTTAATCATTTACATCCAGTACTATGATAAAAACAGTTTAAACCAAATGTATCATTGTATCATTTTTCTAAGTGAAATTAGGTACAAGGATTTTTCATTTATTTATTTAATTTTTAGTCAGTGCAGACATGTTAAAACCATCATGTTTGTATGTGAAAGTCAGTTGATTTACTTATTTAAAATTCATCTACTCTTCCTCATGTAAGAGATCACTGTTAATTGGATACCCTGCTCAGCAGGAGCAGTATGTTATTTGAGTAGTTTTGGCCTACCGTTTATGAATACTGTGAATTCAGACATTATTTATCGTGCTGCTACTACATAGTTGGGATGTAGGCATATTTGGACATGGGGAATGGTTTCCTGTTGCAGTAGATGGTATAAATATGAGGTGAGACACTCATCCTGAACACTCCAACCCTAGTGATATTGTGTGATTTTAATCATATAAGAGAAATGTCTCTTGCATAGAACAGCAACATTAAACTGGCTTTCTGGCACCACTTAATGTACCATGTAGTGATTGCAAACACTGGGATTGGTCAGTATTTCAATCGGCTTTATGCACAGCTCCACTACTTCCTGAACTTCAGCCAGCTTCTTGTTTCCTGTCTGCCATTATTGACAAACTGATTAATCCAGGTGTGTCTGACCTCAGTAGTCACAACAATAATAAAGTTTGTCCAATAATGGCAGACAGGAAACAAGGAGCTTGCTGAAGTTCAGGAAGTAGAGGAGCTGTGCATAAAGCCAATTAAAATACTGACCAATAGTAGTGACAACAACAATAATCAGGCACACCTGAATTAATCAAGTTTGTCCAATAATGGCAGACAGGAAACAAGGAGCTGGCTGAAGTTCAGGGCCCGTATCCCTAAAGATTCTGAGAATCCTCTCAGAGAGCTCCTAACTTAATCTAAAAATTCCTTGCCAGGAGTTTTAGCTTAGAAGTGATTCCAGAACATTTTCAATGAACTCTGAGTAAGGAATGGATGGAGAATCCTATCTTAGTGAGGAGGTGTGGTTGACCCCGTTGCTAGGTATGAGTCATCATTTCAAAAGCCGTGATTGGTTGATCCTACAAGTTTGATGAAAATGAACTTTTGGTGATAATGAGCAAAGGATGTACCCTCAAATCAATAGACATAATTATACACTCTAATCTTATGCAGACTGTAATTGTAAATAATATTTCACATTCAAGAAAATGAATAGTAAGCTGTAGGGGTTATAGCCTAACATTAGAATCTAAAATATGTGAAAACTTAAGCTCATTACACCCTGTTTAAATAATGATTCGTGTCTTATTTCCTCACCAAGCTGGCATATTTTGTACTTTCACTCCCATATGGACCCCATTGAAAACAAGATGGCCTATCTTAAGGGGCTGTCCTTAATGAACTAGAAATTGCAACAACTCAGTGTGGTCGTAACGAGGGTAACACGGCTCAGCTTTTATCAATGTCTGTGATTGCTGGCTGGTCTATTTATGAAGGCTCGTTAACAAATATCCTACAAACACAGAAAATGGAGAATGGCCATTTTGTGCAGCTGCTTAGGGGAACTCCTAAGCCACTAAAAGTCCTCTTCCCTGCTCTTAGCAGGTCTCGCCTTAGGAGCCCTTTTAAGCACTAGGAATCTTGAGGAATGAATAGCTTTTATATTAACTGGGATTTTCGTGTCACTTTTAGGGGAAATTCTAAGAAAACGTCATGACTGAGAATTTTCTTAGAATTTGGCCGTTAGGAGCCATTTTTTGCACAAAAATTATTTAGGGATACGGGCCCAGGAATTAGAGCAGCTGCGCATAAAGCAAATTACGGGCAATGAAGAACTAGAGAAAACCATTATAATTATATTCCTTGATTCATTGCCACAAGGTATCTTTGTGACAATGTAAGTTAATATTTGTGTTGGTCATTTTTACTTGTAATGATTTCAGCAGCCCAACACTATTTTTTTATATATTGCTTTTCCCAAAACTATTTTAGCTGCAAGTGTAGACATTGAATTTAAACTCAAAGTTCAACTAATTTATTTAAAAAAATGTAACCTATACAAAAACAAAGTAACAGTAGAAACAACTTGTGGCCACAGAACTTAATTTGTGCTCAGGTCCATTGCAATTCAGATTTTACACAATAATGTCAAATTCTGTGCATTTCTTAAACCTTTCTAATGGTGTAGGATAATAAGAACATCCACCACTTTCCACTCATTCAAAAAAAAAATGTTTTCAATAATTTGCAACATCTCAAAAATTTGTTTTAGGGTTTTGTATCCTACCTTGCAGGCCTATGTATACAAACTTGGCATGTAATACCTTAAATATTTATTTGCTCATTTCATTTGAACAGATTCGAATGTATATAATAATGGTTAATCACTTTGTTACAGTACAAGCATCAAAATGGCCCGAGAAACATTCAGAAAACAAGAGTGTCCGCTTGTCCCAGGACAGACTTAAACTACTTAATTTAAAGTAGAATCGAATGCATAGAAACATGTAACGTCAGTTGCTGTCCTCTGAAGTTGCCTTCTATGATAACATTGATTTGAGATGGGTAGTTTGGGGATTTCTAAAATTCTTTGATTAAAATGTATTTCAAATCCACATTATTAATAAAAAGATTAAAAAAAAAAAACGTAGGCTACGACAGACAGACAGACACTTGCAATATTGACAAAAGCAATATTAACAAATGGAGGCGCATGCTGTTAAATTACATTTCCACTCCATCACATTGTTTAAAAATATATGTCTATCCATATATTAAATCTAATGCATCTAACGTTAGTATAGTAAATCTTAAGGTAAGTTTACGTAGCCTATATGTTGCGACACGACTTTTTTTTTTTTTTTGCTAATTCTGGTTACCACAATACGAAGTCGGCGAAGACGACGTGAGCTGGTAAACAGACCGTGCGTTATCTACTCATAAATTGTGTAATCAAAAATAAATGTATATTCTTTTGGTTATGGAGACGCAGTCCAGTCCAACAACTGCGGAGGGCGTGCAAGCAAGCATCATGCTTTCTCTAACGTTACACAGGAGCGGTTCGAGGCTTTGAGCCTTATTAGTTCTGAAATATTCTACAGAGGCATTAAAACTCAGTGTGTATTTTTTTTTTAAATAATAACCCGTTGTCACTTATTCCTAAAATTAACGTTTTTTTATCATCTGCAACGAAAATCGCATGTACAACCAACCAGTACAGTTTTGGAGTGATTTAAATGGTTTGTCTTCTACGCGTGGTTTATTATTTTGGCCCATGCCATGTTTGGTCCCCTTGTCTTTTTAAAATAGTGGACCACAGTTCACCAACAAGGTTAATATTTGGGATAGAATGTAATCCTGCACCAAATCAAACGTCCAGTCCAAACCGGTTCCCTCATATATTCCACGCAGACAGTATTGTTGACGCTCTAGTATCGCGGTCCCTGCGAAAGCGCCCATGAGACCCCGTGCAGCTATAGTTGTATAACGCAACACTGTTATTCCTTTTTACACGGATAAAAGAACAATATTAATCCCTTATATGAAAGACCATTAAACTCCACGGCTTGTGTATTTAGTAACACAACATCTTTTCCAAAATCCACAGTCACTTCTTTCGAAAGTATCCAGTTTAATTAGGTGTTTGTCTTCGAAATCTATATCTCCTGCAGCCCTTCAACGCCATCTCACGCTGCAGAATGCTGACTACAGAGTGAGGCACCTTCAAAAAAACAAGGTTCGGCCTCTTTTCCGCCTACGACAACATGAAGCTCCGCAACGATCCAACGGCATATTCGCGTTCCTGTTTGTTACCCCGATTGACACATTCCTGCCCTATAGCGTACCAGAGGGCGCGAGCTAAAGCTGAAAGTCCGCCTTCATAATGAACCCCTGCTCCGCTGTGGAGGAAACCCTGTGTTATAGTTGTGTGTAGGCTTCGCTGGGAGCCGCGGTTGATGCCGGTGTAGAGAGGGGGATGGGCAATACTGCAAATGTAAAGGACATGAGATTGAATCACAGCCTTGAATCACCAAGTGCTGTACATACCCATATAAATATCGACTATAATTTTGTAAAATAACATTGTACATTAATGTATGCTTTAGCAACTCAACGTGAACATTTGAAGATCGCACTATGTCTTAAATGGGAGAAAATGTGAAACTTTCAACTCTTGCGTAAGGGACACTGAGAAGTTTGGAAGATAGCCTGAGAGCCTCGCGGTCTACAGTTCCCAGGAAACACCGAGGTTGCAAGAGAAGGCCTCCTGTTCTGCCTCGCATTGATGTTGGATTTTTGGAAAACACAAAATACCTTTAATAGGCTATTGAATTTCAATTACGTTGGGAGGACGCTGTAGGTAAGGTATTTTTTTTTTATTTCAATGAAGGTTTTGATGGCAAATAGCTTATGTTTTTTATGAACTAGGCAAAGTTGATGCAGAAGTTGGGAGCTCAGTTTATCAGCTCTTGTTTATCAACATGAATTGTAGGTTAGCTTTCCTCTTTCAACTCTTCTTGGTTGAATGTTTCTGCTGTCACGTTTATTAATCAAATCCCCCAGAATAATGATGTAACACCGTGTTGGTTGGTCTGCATGTTAGCTTGATGTAACTAGCTATAATCACAATCACACTTTGCCCACAACCTCGTGCTAAGACCTGTTTTTTTGCTGTAAACATTCAGTGATCGGCCTATTGTTATGCTGCATTTCTTACCCTTTGTACCTATATCACATTAATAGCATTCGTGCCACTCAACATAATGAATTATCAAAGTGAGCAAAGGTATCATATTAGTTAGCCGTTAGCTTAGCTGAGAGAGCTTAAAGGCTAATACGATTTAAATGCATTAAAGTGGTAAAAATCAAAAGATCTTTATTTCTAAATAAGAGGAGAAATGCTGGAAGTGGATTTCGTGGCAGAAACTGTGACTCTGGGCATTTTAGTGTTAGTTGACTTGTTCTTGTGTTAATCAAGTTTATATGTGGAAACAGACATGGTAGAGTTTGTATTTACAACATTCGTGCTTGTCAGAATCGAATTTGATAAGACCCAGTTTTCCGAAAACATTGGAAATTATGTTTGCAGATGCTGATCGTAGTGCTTAGCAACTTGGAGGTACTTTGTCAGACTCACAGTGGATTTATTTTCTGTCTGTTCTAAAAGAAGATAGTTTGTCGGGATAAACAGATATCCTGTTGAACACTGCTCTCTGGTTCTCTACATCTATATTTTTGATGCAGCTTGCTTCCATCTCGTTGACTATGAGAGAACTTTGGATGTATTTATAATTTCTTGATCTGGTCGGTGTTTTCTTTGGGAAACGAAAATAATGCGAACCCTAAGAACCGTGACTTGCTTTTCTCATTCTTCACCTCCGCCTCCCCCATCAACCAACCCCCAACTCGAGCCATGAGAAATGGGTGGTATTTCTGAGGGGAACTCGCCTTTCCTTTTTTAGCCTCCATTTTTATTTCAATAACAAGTTAGTGGAAACAAGGAAGAGAGGGCGACTGAGAGTGAACTCAACCATATTCCCTCACTATATATATATATATATATATATATATATATATATATATATATATACACACACACACACACACACACACACAGTTTTTGGGTGACAGTTTTCGATGCGCTGCAAATAGGTAACATTTGCTGTTCTGTTCTTTCCAGCGTGTAAAATGAACCTCGAGGAAACGCCTGCTGTTGTGGCAAGGCCGCGTACTCCATACTCAGGGTTACGTTTGCATGCACGCATTGCATTATTTTAGCGGTCCTCTGGCTGTATGCTGCCCATTCTGTCTGTTCACTAATAAATTTGATATCATCAGGAGTTTAGGACCCTGAACAAAGAGTGTCCATAACAGTGCCTGATAGAATTCACACATTATTAAAATGGTATGCTATTTGCATGGGCTGTGTCAGGTAAAACATAACTGTTAATGAAACTGTTGGCCTATAATGGGGGGGACTGGTGGACATGTTTTTTTTTTTTTTTGTCGTTAATGCTGGTCGAATGAACACTTAACGGCTTCAGTAAAAATTATGACTTGCCATGTAGCTACCTACAATTTTTTTTTAACTCTCAAAATCAAACAGCTACATATGTATTTCGTATTTGCATCTGTTTTTAAAACCTAAGAAAGCAGATGTTTTTTTTTTTGTTTTGTTTTTTTGTAGTTCCTGAAGAGCTTCCTGGCAACTGCAAATGTGTGATTGGGCTTGTCCGACATTTTCCCAGTATGTTTTCAGGTTTTATTTTCGTTCGCCTTGAACCGTGAAACCTGATCTTTCTGTGACTCACCCGACTCGTTATCTAAAGTAAACGTGTGTCTTTGTCCAGAGACAAAGGACAAGCTTGGAAAATCTTAACTTTTAGCAGATTCGAAAATAAAATATATGACCTGATGCATTTTAGTATCAAATTACTGGTTACCATTTAGCCTAATATATGAATTTATAGACCACTGTACCACAAATTGAGACTTGGCAAATATGCAAAGCATTTTTTTTCTGGATCAAAACCTTTCTGTTTTGTCCTCGTTTTTTGTTATTTAGTTTTGTTTTGCATCTGTTTATGTAATACATTTTATTACCAATGTTAAATATTGTAATTATATTAAATACTATTTGATCTTGAAGATTTCAGCTTTTAAGTTATTTTATGACATAGCCTGTGGAATTTTTAATAGAAAATGATTGTTCAATGCACTGTTGTGATGCTTTTTCGCGTATTATTGGGCCAAATGTCCAAAATTTATTATGGTTATTATAGGATTGGGATTATAGGATATTATAGGATTGCATTTTAGGGACTTTATTATTATTTTTTTAGTTAATTGGTAGGACAATTGGTTTCTTCCACAATAATAATGTTTGCTTGATACCCAAGCTCTTGTCTTCTTTAGAGTCTAGACAACATGATAGGTGATTTCTAACCCTAAACCCACGAATGAACACATTGTGATCAATGCTTTTAAAAAAGGGATATTTGAAATGTTTCTTTTTGTATTAATGAAAAAACAAATTCATTTAACTGTAAAAAGTACATAGAGAAAATAGTTTGTGTGTAGTTTTGTGGGTTCTTAGCTCTTGTTCTCTTATATGGGGCTAAAAAGTAGTTGCTGAGATGCCTGCTTCTCTTCTGCATCGTGATTGGATGGTTTCAGAGAGCCTCAGCCAATCAGATGCATTGGAGTGTTGTTGCTCTCTCTCTCTCTCTCTCTCTCTCTCTCTCTCTCTCTCTCTCTCTCTCTCTCTCTCTCTCTCTCTCTCTCTCTCTCCCCCTTTCTAACCAGTGCTTTGGAACAACTAACAGCACAGTCTTAAAACAGCTTTTAGTAGCATAAACAATGTTTTCTAACTGAAAGGGAGCAGAACATAATGCGGTGTCCATATGCTCTGTCAGTCAAGGTTCTCTAGCCTCTTGTTTCTATGCACCCTGTGTGGCCATTATATCTCTTGAACAATTCCAGGTATTTGGCAAGGGTGGGTCAGTCATCTTGAAAACAAGCTGACAGAGAGAAAGAATTGAAATTAAAACTCAATTTTTACATCAGTCTCTGGTGATACCATCACAAATACTCTTTAGGGTATTAGGTAGAAGTCTTTAGGATACAGCAGGATTTGTTTTCGTGATTGAATCATTTACAAATTGTTGGCTGAAATGTATGTGGCCACAATCCAATGCTTCTTTATGCATCCCAGACAACAGAACGACCACCTACTCCCATGTCAATCAGCCTTTGTGCTAAAAAAAGCCTCTTTCACTTGGTTGGTTATGTGTGGCTTTAAAAACAATAACAATCGTCCTATAGACGAATCCGGCGAAACTACCGGAAGTAAGCGGGCGCCATTACTGAGCTGTTGCTGGGTAGCGTTGCGCCATTGCCTTCTATTGTTTTAGTTGCAACTTGCGTCCACTGGAATAAACAGCTCGATATTTACGACTGACACTAACGTTACAACGTTAGCCCTTGTATAATGTCGAGTGGGTGAACAGTTTCCGTTATAAATTGTTTCAATGGTGGCAGTAAAATTTCAATTTTGAAGAGAAAACATTGTGAATACCCCGGGTCGACTGCCCCTGTCTGGTGCCGTACGGTAAACACAGATTTCCTGGGCGAGTACAAGACGCGGACATTCGCGTATAATAACAATTATTTAATGACATAAGTAAAAAATATAATAAATGTGTGATATAGTGATCAGCAAAATCTCCTCTCTTGTTATTTTTTCTATTCAATTAACATGCTATGGTCATTAAATGGCTTTCCTGAGCTGAATGTAACGTTATGTGACATAATTGTTCTCCTGCTGTTATATTGACCTCTTTCCATGGTTTAAAAACAGTAGTTGGTCGATATTGTGTATACTTTCTAGCTGTAACGTTACCTTACCCATGCCCGTTGCAATGTAAAAATGAGATAAATAATGGACACAAATGAAAAACATGAAATTGTTTATTTGATTTCATTTATTTATTTATTGTTGCCAAATGGACAGATCTTTTTTTAGTTTCCTCGGTAGCAAACGTTAGCCTAGCTTGCTTGCCAAGCTATTTTCATAAATAATCTGTAAGATCGTTTGTACCTTCATCTGTGACTGGAGGCCAATGTCTAACATCATCAACCCAACAAGTCTGCCTGGCTGTAGCTATCATCAAGGGTGCGTTATCACCTTATCTCCGAGGTTTGTTTACATACCGGTGCATATGTCTATGCCGGTGTAACAGCTCAGTAATGGCGTCGCCACAAGATGGCAGCCTACACAAGAACGCTCGTCGGATTCGTCTATTGGATTTGAAAATTCTCTTTTGAAAAGTCATGACATCATAGGATGTTTCCAGTATTCCTGATATCAGGGGTATTTCCTGCATATTTTAGCCTTCACCATATTTAGTCATGTTGTCATGTCATGTCCTGTTTTTTTTTGTTGTTTTTTTGCATTTATAGGACTGATGCTAGCAGCAAACAGTTGTAAGAGCGAATATTATCTCCCAGATTAGCAAACAAGACATTTGTTCAACTGTTGGGTAAAGTGAAACTGAATTACACATTTTGTTCCATTGGCAAGTGAATGTGCCAATCTGCAGAAACAAGCTCATGCAAAAAGTTTAGCATTTTGCTGTGTTCCAAATTTCAACTTTGGTTCAACTTTAAATGCATTACTGCGCTATTTGTTAGATTATATTAATGTTTATAAAAAGACGCAGCAGGGTGCGACGTCATATCACGATAGGGTTGGGCCGAATCGTGATGGCTGACAGATGCCGTCTAAACATCGCGCCCCCCCCCCCCTTTCCATGGTGATGCGTTATGTTTTGTTGGCACGTGATTCACTACAGCCAAAAT